ATACTTTTTCTTACAAAGCACAACACACACTTATACTACATTACTACTTGATACAGCTTCTAGCACTTAAACTCTAGTCTTAACCACTTCTTCTAGTCCATACCTCTAACACTAGACTAGTTGTACAAGCAACCTTATTTAACTATTACAACAACTCCAACTGCTCTAACTTAGACTTAATCATCTTAACAAAACACACAGCCTTATTTCTTGACTTAGTTATATCTTAACTAAACTGATTTGTTGAACTTGAGCTCAACCAGAAAACGCAGGCCCATAGTCTCCTAATAGCTACACCATACACATGGCCCATCTTCTCTTTTTGTTGACTTCGTTGACCACTTCATCTTCTTTTTTACTCACGACATCGCTTCCTCTTTGCTTTGTTCTTCTTCTTTCTTTTCCTTTTCACTGATATCTCCTTCTCTTCTTGTTGAAGATTCAATCAAGGATTTCAACTTCAACAACCTTTTTCCATTCATAGGGTTTTATTCTAGAAAAGGTTTTATCGGTATTAGTTAGCTAGCATATTTATTATCTCGAGGTCAAACAATGGTAAATTACGGAAAGTAGGTCAATACTCTTTTTCAACACGTGGCCAAAATGTGTACGGCTAATTTTCGACACAATTTTTTAGGTTGGCCTTTAAAACAGATTGGGACTACACTACGGGTTTTAAGCAAAAACAAAACTATGTTATGGGTTAGTTCTATAAACAAACAATAAAGTCCATTGGGCCAGATATGAGTATAAGCAAATTGGAACCCAACAACTTGTGAACCTAGTGGTGGTTTCGTGATTAAGTGAAAGAATGAGGGACAGGAAGAGAAATCTCAGGTATCGAGGCACTTGAATGATATCTTTTAGAATGTGGGTCCAGATCCTGGCTTTTACTTTACAGGCCGGTCCTTTCTTTTTATTGCTTTTCCTAAATTCTTCCAACGTATTTTCCCACTGCAGATGCTACTAAAGTTACGAAAATACCCCTGCTTTACCGCTATATAATTACTCGTGCAGGAATCATTCATTCATTCAAATTGACACTAATACACAAGCAATTAAAAAAATTGTCCTCGTTGGGTACATTGAAAATCATTCATTCCTTCAATTTCCTGCATTATACCCACACCTACCAATCTGTTCCGCGTTTCACCATTGGAGGCCTATAAGCTTTTTTTTAATTTGGTAGAATAATAAGAAAAGAAAAGAAAACATAGTGTACAAGAAGAAGACAAGAAAGAAAAAAAGAAATATTGAGTGTGGCAGTTTGGAAAATAAAGTCGAAAAGGGAGGACGAAAAACAAAATTAGCCAAACATTATTCGTAGCTTTAATTAGTTTTAGGCTTTTAGCTCTCCTCCCACCTCCATTTCCATTTACTTTTTTTTTCTTCTTCTCTTCTTTATGTATTGTTTATTGTTAGTTTTTATGTTTTTTCGCCTCTGTCTTCTTCTCCTTCTTGACCTCTCACTCTCTCTCCTTCCAAATCCGACAGTAATTTTGACCGTTGCTGTCTCCAACGTCTCACTCTACAGTAATCCTCACGCTCCTCTAGCTTCTTTTGACCATAACATAACCCTATTAGGTTTTTTTTTTTGTCTTCTCTCTCTCTCTCTCTCTCTCTTCTAAAACCTCTTTTCTGGGATTGATCATTGCTTTTTTTTTTTTAACATTCAGCAGAACAAATCCAACATTTTTCACCATTTCTCATCTGGGATTCTGTCGGTTTCCAGTAAATTTCTCCCTTTTTTTTCTTTTACAGGAAATAAGCACGAATCTGTAAATGGGTTTTAGATTTTCTTGAAGAGGGTTTAAGGGTTGAAAGACTCTGAAGAGCTTTTGTCTTGTAAATTAAGCAAAGAATCTTTCTTCAGACATTTGGGAAAAATGATGTCTTTTTCTCATTTAATGTGAGTTAATGAAACAACCATGCTCTCATTTGTTTCGATCTTTTCATTATCTACTTATATGAATGAGTCTTGATCTGTGGAATTGAAGCTTCACAAAAAAAGAAGAAGAAGAAGTAGCAGAGCAATGGGATGTTCTCATTCCAAGTTAGATGATGAAGAAGCAGTTCAGATCTGTAAAGACAGGAAACGTTTCATCAAACAAGCAGTAGAACATAGAACTAAGTTTGCTACTGGTCACATTGCTTACATACAGTCTCTTAGAAAAGTCTCTGATGCTCTCCATGACTATATCGAAGGAGACAACTACAAGCCTCACGAGTTTGTTCCGAGTCAGGACTCATTCATCACTCCGGTCAAGTCAAGACCGAGCCGCCGTAGCAGCAGCAGGAGCGGCGGTGAGTTCATAACGATCTCGCCTTCTTCGATGCCTCCTCATCCTTCGAAAATGATTCAAGATAAGCCAAGATCGAAGGTGAGAGCGAACTACTTGATGGCTAATAGAAGCAGACCGGTTCGTGTCGAGCAGAGATCCCCTGAGACGTTTCGTGTTGAGACGTTTTCACCACCGAGTCACCAATACGGAGAAGCAGATGGTTTCTTTGGTATGAACATGAACATGAATATGAACACTTCTGCAGCTTCTTCTTCTTCGTTTTGGAATCCGTTGAGCTCTCCTGAGCAAAGATTTAGCAGCCATAACATTCCTCCTCCTTCCCCGCAGAATTCGCAGTGGGATTTCTTCTGGAATCCGTTCTCTTCGTTGGATTATTACGGATATAGTTATGATAGGGGAAGTGTTGATAATAGGAGTGGTGTGGATGATGAGATTAGAGGACTGAGACGTGTTCGAGAGGAAGAAGGGATTCCAGACTTGGAAGAAGATGAGCCTAATGAACCTCAACCTGTGAGGTTTCAGAATCAGAAAATGAAAGCAACAGAAGAGAGTAGAGGTAAAGTCGATAAGAGTCGTTGCAATGAGGAAGTTAAAGTTGAAGATGTTGATGAGAATGATGATGATGATGATGATGATGATGATGATGATGAGGATGAAGATGAGGATGGGGAGTTTACGGACAGTGGGTGTGAAACTGAGAACGAGGGAGAAGAGAAATGCGTTGGGAAGCAAGAACAGCGAACCGTGGAGGTGCCTAGAGTAGAAATTACAGGGAATGTTGTTGGAGTTGGGAAGGTTGAAGAGATGAAGAATGTTGTTGGTGTTGCAAAAAGAGAGACGACTGGTTTCACGGTTTATGTGAACCGGAGACCAACGAGCATGGCAGAGGTAATCAAAGATCTTGAAGATCAGTTCACAACCATTTGTAATGTGGCTAAGGAAGTCTCGGGGCTGTTGGAAGCTAGCAGAGCTCAATACGCACCATCATCTAGTGAACATAGTGGTAAGTTCATGGAAAAGGTTGTAGTCTTTTCTCTTTTTTCTTGTCTGAGTGTTGAAAGAAGTTTTCTTTCGTGTTTTTTGTAGCCATGAAAATGCTGAATCCAGTAGCTTTGTTCCGGTCGGGTTCATCAAGATCTTCCTCCTCAAGATTCTTGATCACTTCTTCTGGTGGTTCGAAGGAGAGTGGGTCTGAAAGCAGAAGCGATGTTTCAGATGAATCTTGCATGATTTCGGGTAGCCACCAAACAACATTGGACAGACTATTCGCGTGGGAGAAGAAACTCTACGATGAAGTTAGGGTAAGTAACAAGAGAGATCTCAGGAAATAGCAACTATGGAAATCTCGTTTCTTCCTCTCTGTTGGTTATAAATGAACAGTGTTTATTGTGTTGTAACAGTCTGGAGAACGTGTTCGAAGAGCATATGAGAAGAAATGTATGCAGCTAAAGAATCAAGACGTCAAAGGAGATGATCCGTTATCGGTTGATAAAACGAGGGCTACAATCAGAGATCTAGATACACAGATCAAGGTCTCTATACACTCGATTGAATCTATCTCCAAAAGGATAGAGACTCTTCGTGACCAAGAACTGTTGCCTCAGCTTCTTGAGCTCGTTCAAGGGTAACTTTAACAACAACTTCTTCTTCTTCTTCCTCTTTGGTTTCTCTTTTACCTTCAAGACTGACAAATGGTAATTTATGATCACAACAGGTTAACCAAGATGTGGCAGGTGATGGCAGAAAGTCATCAGATACAGAAACGAACACTAGACGAAGCGAAAATGTTACTTGCAGGAACACCAGTTTCAAAGCGACACAAGAAGAGACAACCTTCAATAATGCCAGAGCCCATCAACTCTCAAAGATTAGCTCAATCTGCTTTGAACCTTGAAGCTCAGCTTCGAAACTGGAGAGCTTGCTTCGAATTCTGGATCACGTCTCAAAGATCCTACATGACAGCATTATCAGGTTGGCTTCTCAGATGTTTCAGATGTGATCCTGACCCTGAGAAAGTCAGATTATCATCATGTCCTCACCCAATATACAGAGTCTGCATCCAATGGTCAAGGCTACTTAACAGCTTGAACGAGAAACCGGTTTTGGATAAACTCGACTTCTTTGCCTCCGGGATGGGTTCAATCTATGCAAGACAGGTTAGGGAAGATCCGAACTGGAGCGGAAACGGGTCAAGAAGATATTCCGGGTCAGAAAGTATGGACCTTGTGTTGGCTGATAAAGTAGAAGAAGATGTTGTGATGACTGCTGAGAAACTTGCAGAGGTTGCTGTGAAGGTTCTCTGCCATGGAATGTCTGTTGCAGTGAGTTCACTCGCCGAGTTTGCCATCAACTCGGCTGATGAACACTCGAAGCTTGTTAATCAACCGGAGGATGACACTGCGTCAGGGTCAGGGCAGCCTCCGGATGTAAATCTCAACTCCTAATTGTTGTTTAATTCATTTGGCTTTAGAGAGTTTAGATGTAGGTAGGTTTTTTTGGCATCATCTTTTGCTATCAGAAGATAGTTTATAGATGGATGAGATTTGTATTATTAGTAAAACAAATAGAGTTAGTTCAGTTGATTTTGATGATGTAACAAAAGTCTTGCAATTTTCAAGTTCTGGTATACCGGATTTCGGTATTTTATCCGGTATACCTTGATGTGGTAACCTGCTAAAATGCTAATAGATTGTAAGTTTGTAACCACTGAAATTTGTATAAAAGCCAGTAAAATAAAATATCCTTCAGAACAAAAATCATTATAATGTTACTAATCTCAGATCTGTAGACTCTCCCTAACAAAGAGTTCAAGAAAAAAACACACAGAGACTAGGAAGAAGAGGATAAAGAGTTTGCCTGAGAGCTACTGGTTCATTTGAGAAGAGAAGCCTTAGTGTTCAGTAATCTTCATCTTCGTACTCCAGTTCATTGGAACTACCTCCTCCCATAACGGATAAGTAAAGAACGACGGCTAAAAACTGAGCAGCTACAAAGAATTTTGCTCGTTTCTTGAATTTTTTCTCCTCTTCGGTCTTTTCTGTCTTTGGTTTGCTCTTTGGCTTTGAACCTGAATAACATCATATGAAATGCAAAAAACTTAGACATATCCAATTTGTCGCAGATATGACAGATGCATGTACAAAGAAGATTGAAGAGTACATGATATGAAAATTGTTGGGTTTGGATGTGACTGACCCTTTCTGGAAAATGAGGAAGGGAATGAGTGAAGTGGAGGCGAAGGAGATGAAGAAGAGCCCTCGAGGAACTCGGATTTGAGTTTCTCAGCATATCTGACAAGATTACTATGTTCCAGAAGTTTGCACCGAAGCACTGATGTTTCCTGATTATGCATCATAGCAGGACTACTTAATCTAAATTGTTTGTTTCAAGGAAGCCTAGATTCTACCCGATAAACTAATAAGTGAAATTTTTATTTTTCCTTAAAGAAGCTTACCGGTAATACTTGGATTATAAAAAGCATGTGGGAGAGAAAGAAAGCATCCAAACTCGAAGGCCTGTTGAGAAGAGCATAAGAGAAACATTGTGAATCATTAATAGAAAAAAGCTTAAAAGATTCAATTCCGTTTGGTCAATGTGATTGTAGTACCTGTCTTCAAAGAGAAACTTCTGCTCGCCTAACCTAGTCGACAAAGCTTCATATGCCTCACTTGCCCTCTTGTATATCTGTTCATTTAAAGACCCCTAACTTTAGTAAGTTCAAATGTTAACGAAACCTATATTCATGCAAACACACAAAACTTAAGCAAACGGTACCAGTTTTTCCTTTTGCTCTGCGTTTTCTTTGGTGATACCTAAACTGTTCTTGGCTATGTATGTCTGCTTATAGAAGAGGACCTTGCTGATCACCCAAGGAATATCTGAGTAGTAGATCTTCGATACAGATATTCCCTCGGTACCAACCCATAGTTCATATGTAAGCGCTTCTTCCAGCCAAGAAACAATAAGAGCCTTCAACGATAGATAATCCGGAAGAGACTGGAGCTGAGAGTCTAAATTGACAATCCCATCTTTCTTCAGTTTCTCAATCACCCCTCCATCTTCATTGTTGTATGCAACATATGTACCACTTTCAAAGTACGGCAATTCATCTGTGAACAATTGATAACATATCTAAAGATCATAAATATGTATATCTGGAAATATGGTTTTACAATTACACATAAATGTCTGGAGATATCTTTAGTATACAAACTCAGTAAGTGAATCAAACGACTAACTCATGAATAAGTTTGAAATATGACCAAAAACCATTATTCTCTTCAAATTTATGTCAAGATTTAACAAGTACGTTAACGAGCATTTCAGCAAAAGCCATCAGAAGAAATAACGAACCCTTCTACGTTAATTGTATCTTCTCTCAGAAAAACGAATCCTTTCAAACCTCAAGCAGCAATTAGTAAAGCCTAAAACCCCTATTTTTACTCTGATTAACCAAAAATCAAGAGTTTCATTGTACAATTTACAGTCCGAAACTGAAACTTACCCGTTCTAGGATTCGAATCTCAAATTCAAGTTTTTTTGTGTGTGTCTAAACTCAATTCAAGTTAATAGCATTGACAATGTGGATTTCAAAAACATAAACAGATCACGCAAGGAATCAACTACAGAGATAGGAATCAAAACGTAAGAAACAAGAGCAAAAACCTGAATCAGGGAAGGTCGAATTGAAGGCCAGTTCGAAAGGAAGCTGGGCTAATTTCAGATATATGTAAGCGGGAAGACAATTAGGGCAAGCTGTTGGGAGACCGAAGCCAGGCTTCCTCGTGACCAAAGTGAAATCCGCCGACTGTTGATCGCCTTCCATTATCGTAGTTTTGAGCTCTGATTCTTGGGGATGGTGAAGTTTGATCGTCAATTGAAAGAGACTTGGCGAGAAGAGTAGAAGATCCAGTCGGGTCTCGGTCCGGGTTAGTCGGTCGGGTTTAAACTAGGGTTTATTATTTGATCCACTATCTACTTTGGGCTTTATATGGCCATTGGACTATCCAATAAGGCGATATTTTTTACCTCGGCTCTAACCATGTATAAGTGGACAAGTGGTAAAAACATGTCCATTTCATAGTCATTCGATTATTCGGTTCAGATTGACTTATTCGAGTTTCATATTTTTTTGATATCAAATTTTATATCAGCAGTTCTGGTTCAAACCGTTTGATTTTGGATAAATGAATTATTACAAACAAAATATTTAGTTATGTTATGTCAATTAATTCCATTTAGTGTTTTTTTTTCTAATTAGGGTTTAATTCGGATAATTCAGTATAAGAATTTATGTACCATTCATATTATTTTATAGTTTGGTTCGGGTTCAAAAATTTTGATTTGGTTTGGTTTGGTTCGGAAATTTCGCTAGTATTACTTGACAGTTGACACCAACAAAACGCAAAAATTGATGTAGCACAGAATACAGTATACCGTTTATGTTTTGTCTCTTTGTGATTTGGAAAAATATATAGGGTTTGATTTTTAGTTATGAGTTTATTATTTTGATTTGTTTTACATATACAAGATAATAACATAATTTCATTTTATCGATTCCTATATATTACCGTTGAAATGTGATTACTGTTCTAGTCCTTTCCAAACGGGTAAGCAGTGGCGGAAGGAGGTTTGATGGACCTGGATCAGTTGACCCACGTGGATTTAGAAAAAAAAAATGTTGCATAAAAGTTCATATTTCATATTGACAAGTTCTGTTGTTTACAAGGAAAACTTTCACTATAAATAAGATTCATTCATCTTAAAATACTATTTATAAGCTGTGGATCCATTCTAATATAATTTAGAAACTAAATTCCACATTAGTGTTTTTTTTAAAGGGGAAGCTGTATATCGATCAGCAAGATAAGTTTCAAGTAATCAGAGAATGCAGATAAATCGAATTGGGCCTGCATTCTCTGATTTCCTGAGAAATACCATGAGCCTAATTCTTTTCCATCGAGTTTACAACCGTTTTGCTTTTGTTGCTTTTAAATTCATTGTGTTTGCTTAGCGTAATTCAAGCCTAGATAGTTTATTGTGCGAATCTCTCGTCTTTGTGGTTCGACCCCTATTATACTACAATTGCATATATGTGCTCTTGCAGAGTAGTTCTAGGGATTAAACTTTGAGCAGATCAGGAGATATCATCTGATTATTTTTAGGAGCATTGCTCAGCACAACTTTTCTTACAGCCTCATTCTGACTAGCTGTATATTTCAGAAGCTCTACGAAATTACCTCTGTTTGTTGAGACTTCTTTCTCATTATGAGCACGAAAAGATAAGCCTTGGTGTAACAAGTGTCTAGAAACATCAATCGAAGCACTCAAACGGATCCGATACTCATCTTTCATAGTATCGTTTTGCTTATGTAAAGCATGCCTGATAGACTGACCTTGTCTCATCAAATCTTCACATTTATTTTTGACATTGCTGTGAAAACTAGTATGATCACCCACATGTTTACTGAAGCTATCAGCCTTATTCCAGCTAGCAAAACCCGTCGATACAAAAGCATCACACCCACTTTGTTTTCCAACTTGAACTCTGAATAAGTAACAAAATAGACAAAAAGCCTTTTCTTCTGCCATGCTATACTCTAACCAATCAGGATACTGATCAAACCAATGTGGATTAAAGCGCCGCAATGCATTTCTTATTGACTTTTGTTTAAAAGTATGACCGCAAGGTTGACAAGGTCTTCTAGTCAAGTATTTGCGTCGTACCTCATCTCTTTGATCAGGATGATAATCTTGAATGTTTTTTCGCTTTGCTGGATCATATGGTAAATCATCCAATTCAATATTAGATGGTGGAGATCTTCTTTTCAGAAACTGTTTCATTGTGTTTGACTCTTGAATGTTTTTTCGCTTTGCTGGATCATGTGATAAATCATCCAATTCAATATTAGATGGTGGAAATCTTCTTTTCAGAAACCGTTCCATTGTGTTTGACTGCTGAATGTTTTTTTCTTTTGCTGGATTTATATTAGATGGTGGAGATTTTTTTTTTCAGAAATCATTCCATTATATTTGACATTACAACCTATATGTACACCAAAACAAAAATATGTTAATCATAATTTAAAATTTAAAAATTTGTAGCATAATATATAAAAAAAATTGTGTACTATTATCAGAAGCATGGATGATTGATGTCTATATTTTAAATTGGTTAAAATAGACAGTCAAGCAATTTAGCTACATCTTAAGAGATTTTTAAAAATAAAAGGGAAGTTTCATATAATTACTTGAAACTTATCTTGCTGATCGATATACAGCTTTCCCTTTAAAAAAAACACTAATGTGGAATTTAGTTTTTAAGTTATATTAGAATGGGTCCACATCTTATAAATAATATTTTAAGATGAATGAATCTTATTTATAGTGAAAATTTTCCTTGTAAACAACAGAACTTGTCGATGTGGGATAAGAACTTTTATGCAACATTTTTTTTTTTTGAATCCACGTGGGTCACCTGACCGAGGTCCAGCAAGCCTCCCTCCGCCACTGATGCAGATGCAACCCAAGATGACACTCAAAAGTAAGAATTTTAGGAGTTTATGTATATTTTGAAGACTTTGTTAAGTTATAACATTTAGCTAATGTTTTTTTTCTTTGTTTTGAAGACTGTTATGAAACTTATTATCTATGAAGTTTTATGTTTTCAATTTGTTATTAAATTAAAAAAATTTTCAAATTATAATATTAAATTAAAAACATTTGAATTACATTTTATATTAAAAGGTGGAAAAATCGTGGGAAATATTAATGCGGACACCGTGAGAAATTTATGGAGTCTTTGGTTGGCAAACCGGGAACATTTGGTTGGCTAACCGTCACGAAAAAGGTGGCTAATTTCTGACAACTTTCCCACCGATATTCTCGACCAATTCTATAACGAAAATTTCGGTGAGAAATTTTTCACGAATTCATCACTATTTTAAATTTGCAATGATCGATTTTCCATCATTTTGGTTTTCTTAAAAAATAGTTGGAAATAGACTTTCTCCACTATTTTACAACTGGTATTTCCGTGAGATTAAGCCTTGTTTTCTTGTATTGTTGATTAAATACTTTAAGTAGAAATTCTCTTAACAAAATGGATAATCGACTGTGTGAAATGAAACTAAGAAAAAGGACAATAAGCATGATCATATAGAAACCAAAAATAAATAAACCTTATAATCACGTCCATCATATAAGCTGTTTACAAGGAAACAACCTAAAGCACGAGAAATACATTTTAAGAAAGTGCTATAAAATTATGGTAAACTCATACGATCTACTATAGATCTGTTATATATAGTACTTTACGACTAAACTCAAATAGAGAACCGGCTTATGATATTTATATATGGCTCCTATTATCTTAAGAAATACTTACACCGTAGTACCGGCTGAACCAACATGGACCGGTCGGTTTCCATTAGCCGAATGGGATCAAGTTGGTACAATAACTCACGTTCCCACCGTTTACTTCTACGACAAGCCACCTGAATCGTTCCAAGGCAATGTATTCGAAACCCTAAGAAACTCCTTGAGTCGTACGCTTTTCCATTTCTACCCTATGGCCGGCCGTGTTCGGTGGCTCCCTCGGGGCCGGTTAGAGCTCGATTGTAACGCCGTGGGAGTGACATTCATCGAAGCGGAATCCGAGGCGGAGCTTTCCGATTTCAAAGATTTCTCTCCGACGCCGGAATTTGAGAAACTTATGCCGCAAGTAAACTACAAAAACCCTATCGAAACGATCCCTCTCTTTTTAGCTCAGGTCACCAAATTTAAATGCGGTGGAATCAGCCTTAGCGTCAACATTTCACACGCGGTCGTCGATGGGCAAAGCGCGCTTCACTTCATGTCGGAATGGGGAAGAATCTCGCGTGGCGAACCGCTAGGAACCGTTCCGTTTCTTGACCGGAAAATCTTGTGGGCTGGTGAACCGCTTCCGCCGTTTGCCTCGTTACCTCGGTTCAAGCGCAAAGAGTTTGAGCAGCCGCCGTTTCTGATCGGAGAAACTGACAATGTAGAAGAAAGAAAGAAGAAAACAACTGTGGCTATGCTAAAACTGAGCAAATCTCAGCTTGAGAAGCTTAGAAGCAGAGTGAATACAAGCGAATTCGCTGATCCAGCGAGAGGGTTTACAAGGTACGAGACGGTCACGGCACACGTGTGGAGGTGCGCGTGTAAAGCACGTGGGCACTCGCCGGAGCAACCCACGGCTTTGGGAATCTGTATAGATACTCGTAGTCGGGTGCAGCCACCACTGCCACGTGGCTATTTCGGCAATGCCACTCTTGATGTGGTCGCAGCAAGCACGTCAGGTACGTTTCGTCAGATTTTCCGTTGGTGATATTTGAGATTTTGCTTTTGAGATTTGTGTTTACGTGCAATTACATATTCTCTTGGTCTTATCTTTTCTTAGATTATCAAGTTTTTTATTTTTTAAGAAAGATTAATATTGATTATTTTGGGGGGTCAAATTTTATATTGTTCATTAAAATTAATAAATTTTATATTTTGGGGGATATCACAAAATAGTGGTAAAGTTTTAATCACGTGAAAGCTATTTAAATTAATTTCAGTTGATGATACTGTAAACGTAATTATACAATTATTTAACCACTACTCAATACATATATCGTAAATTGCAAGTAGTACTAAAAAAAACTTTCTTACCATCTCTAGCTCAACAAATCCAATTATATCAATACGAAAATCAGCAATCGGACACATAGGCTAGCTGTAGAAATTAAATACTTCTTGAACATTAACCGCAATATTCAATTTAGATGGAAGATATATTGGTTCCTTCTCATGCACGTAAAGCCAGACCAATCTTAATTTTTCCCGATTCTTGGAAATTTGGAGTTAAAGGTAGGTTACTAGCTATATAAGTTATACGATGCAAATTCTATATTTCGATAATTTTGTTAATTATGCATATATATATATATATATATATATATATATATATATATATAGGTGAACTGATATCGAATGAGTTGGGTTTTGCGGCGGGAAAAATCAGTAAAGCCATAAAGAATGTGACAAACGAATACGTGATGACTGGGATAGAGTATCTAAAGCAGCAAGAGGATCTGAAAAAGTTTCAAGATCTACATGCCTTGGGAAGCACGGAAGGTCCATTCTACGGAAACCCTAATCTTGGACTTGTGAGCTGGTTAACTCTGCCGCTGTACGGTCTTGATTTTGGATGGGGTAAGGAGATTTACATGGGACCAGGCACGCATGACTTTGACGGCGACTCACTGTTATTGCCGGATCAAAACGAAGACGGCTCGCTGATTCTCGCCACGTGTCTACAGGTAGCTCACATGGAGGCCTTCAAGAAACACTTTTATGAAGATATCTAGGGTTATATGTGTGCACACAAGTATTCAAATATCTATGCATTTTCATTTGAATAAGGAATTTAATAGGGATTCTATTTCTCTTGTTGTTGTTCCTGAATTGTTAACATATAAACTATATATTTACACATATATTTATATATATGTAAACTATAGATTGTTGTGTTTATTATAAGAACAATTGCTGTAGAACTTAGAGATGAGTATGACCTTAGCATGATAGCAACATTTGGTATGATCTTGCACGGATTTGACTTAGAACGGATTGTCTTCCAAATCCGTAAGGGTTTAATACCAATATTGTAGCAATCTATCACAAGTCTTAATGATGGAAAATGCTTTAACTCGTCAATATAGTTTGAACAGAATGGCAGAACAATGAAACAAATATAAAAACGTTGGCACATTAGTTAATTTATTTTCCTCAAATTAATTTGTAGGGCCTCATCATTGGTGCAATTTTAGAAATTATTTTTAGATCATTTGGTTTTCTTTTTGTTTCTTTGAAAAACTAAGTGAAGGAAATATATATGCTCATAGCTAATGTTCAACTGTTGAAACAAATTTTCCTTGATATATAATTTCCTAAAAGAGATAATGTGAATGTTTTTTTTGGGTAAAAAAATGTGAATGTTTTTTGAGTATTGTGCCTATAATATGCCAAGCAAGGCAATGCTATAAGGAAAAGTAATGACTCCGGCAAACGCAGCCTTTGCCACAAACATGTTTGCCCTCTCAGTGCTGTGGACATTGTCCCAGTACACGTACTGTCTTCGAGACTCACACACCGGTTTATTCGCCGCACATAGTTCTTCCCCTTGTTCTACCGTACAACAACTCTCTTGTGTTACCGCAAAACCTAAAAAATATATAGAAATATATAACATATACGCATGGTTACATTATATATATATATATATATATATAGGGGAAAAGTCGAAAAATTATAGTATTTGTGTTGCGATGGTACCGCTACGCAAAAGATTTATCTAACTGATCAAATATTTATAAATTTGTGACAAAATGAAAATTTAATTTGTTTTTCATTATATTTTATAAAAACGAAAATGGGTTGAGTCCAAAGTATTTATACAAAATTTTGTGTGAGCATTTCCTGGTTTTGAATAATTTTTTGAAAAATCATGACAATATTTTGCAAAACGAGTTTTTTTATATATAAGGAAAACCCTAATTAATCTGTGAACAATATGTCAAATAAAAGATAAATTAAGGGAAAGAAAAAAATTGTTCAGTAAACCTGAAAATATCATAATTTATTTAGCAATGCGACTAAGAAAGTCCATGAAGTTTTTAATATTTTCGAAAAGCTTTTCAGACAACTGAATTAGGAAAAGCCGTTTAGGAAGGACTCATAACTCAAGTTCTAAGTGCCATTTCGGAATTGTTTTTTTTTTTAAAAAAAAAAAATTGTATTTTGGGGGAACTAAAGTGTGTTTTTTTTTTTTTGAATTTCTAATTAAAACTAATGATTTGAGCATTACTATATGTTTTCTTATTCGGCACAACGAGTTTTCTCCTGAGTTAAAAATGTAGTGAGTTCAATATATGTGTAACTTTACATACCTAAGCCAGCATACGCAAGAGTAGTTTGACCGGTGAAGATATCGACGTATGTGAACGTAGCATCGGCGAAGTTTGTGTTGAACTCTCTGACCAGAGCTTTGAGGTTCTTGTTGAAAGGTTCAACTGCTGTGTTCACTTCAGCCGCGCAGCCTCTACCGCCACCGTGGGAAGCGATCATCCGCGGCGTGCACCCGAGCTTACTGACCCCAAACAACGCCACCTTCCTTGCTCCTTGGACATACAATAACTTTGCAAAAAAATATCTCTAAATTATTATGTTTAAAGATACATAAGTATGATTAAACTTTATAAAAGCAGATCCAATTAAACTTTATAGAAGTAGATCCAATCTACTGCATCATTTTTCAGTTTTTTGTTTTGGTAGAATTAAGAATACACTTCATTAAATTCACCATTCTGAAAATGATTTCCTAATCAATATATAATGTCAATATGTTATAAAATGATCAAATTGAATAATGCCTTTAGTACTATTCTTTTTAAAATACTTTGCATGGTATATATAGTATTACCTTCAAATAAGAGCGATAACGTTGAATGAGGAAATCGGCATATTGGTTGTACGTGAACAAGCGACTGGTATTGTACTGATCATCTGGCATGAAATAGTTGTTAAGATAATCATTGCTCCCGATATTAATTGTGTATAGACATTGCTTCAGCTTCTCCGGTGGTACATTCGCCGTCATAATCATCTTCCGGTGATTCTCTATTTGTTTTTCAAAACTAATTATATCACCCTGTATCATCAAAAATATCATCATAATCCATAGTAGTTAATCAAAGTCTTTTAAATGGAAACAATGTTAAACAAAAGTGAGTCAAATCATACGTTCCCTGTTTAGAAAAGGCAATCAATTAAAGTCAAATAATTAGTTCCCTTGAAAGTTGAAACAAAACTAATATATAGTAGGTTACTATTTTTAGTTTGTTGGTAAAGAAAAAAAAACTAAGAATAATACTTTTAGTTGCCTAAAACATTTATATAATATTGATTCTTCTTGATTCATGCTGCGTATTTAGAGCCTAATATTTATTTGTTCGTACTTGAAATAAAAATTTAAGGCTTCTTTAAGGTGATCAGTGACATGATTACTGAAAACGAATTCTTTCGCTATTAAGTTTGTTCTGTTCTTACCAAATGGTGGCTAGTCTCCTCGAGAAGTCCACCGCCACCAGAAGCGTAGTTTAGTCCGGTGTGAGCTTGTTCCGGCGATGCTCCGGTGAACGGTGGAATGTAATCACTGAATTTCATCAGTTCAGCTGCAAAAAAAAAAAACCATATTACATCGGAAAACATATGGAGTATATTAGTTATGAATGATACACACAAGAAATCATCCAAAACTTTTATTTTTCATTTATTTGGAAAACTGATTCTAAATAACATACATAACAAGAAAAGCTAAAAATAAAAACAGAATCATCTACAGGGGATCTTTTCATTTTTAACAACATCGATACAAGCAACTTCAGCGTTCAAAAAAAAAACTTTATCTATCAACTAAAATAGTCTCTTAATTAAAATTTATGACTATTCTTTTTTTTTTGAACGTGATTTATGACTATTCTGCATAACTTTATTTAGTTCTAGCTAGGGTTTGCGTTACAGTCTAAACTGCAAGTCAGGGCAAAGAAAACGATATGCTATTTAGTAGTTATGTTAGCATCGAAAACACATTGGCAAAGATAAGAACCAAGCCCAGGAACTAACCGATAAAGTCGGGAATATTACGGCCATTGCTGAACCGGCCGGTTGGACCTCTAGCCAAATCGATACCGTAAGGTGAATAGTTAACTTTGGCCGTTGTATTCAAGCCATTGTTGTTACCATTGTCGAAGACTGAATCTCCAAAAACGAAATAGCAAGGCACTCGCTGTCCACGAGCCACCCCGGCCATTGTAAACACCGTGGCGGCAAGAACCCACAACAATGCTTTGAACATTCCCTCGGCCATTACTGGAAATGAATAACAATAAATTTGGAAATGGATACATTGAAGAAAAGAGAAAAATCTATATATATAAGCATACATGGAGAAAGACAGACAATTTTTTTAAAAAAAAATTTGGTCAACCTACAGTAATAAAATTCTATTTCAAGGTTATTCAACAGAAGACATAATGAGTTAATCATAGGGTGTCAAACAGTTAGCTGATTTTTGAAAGATCTTTAAAAGTCAAACGATATGTGAGTCGTTAAGTTTTTATATTTGGAAAATCTTCAGTTATCAATTTGTACGCGAGTTGTCATGAAAAAAATACAATTCATCTTAACAGGAAAAAACCTCGTGATGTTTTTTTAAATATGTTTAGCACTCGTTTTTGAATTTGATCTGATTCGTCTATTTGGTTTCGTGAAGACCATATGGTGTTTTATTTTATTTAATTGAATAAAACGTTCACATCATATCAAAGAAAAATGATTAGTTTGCAAAGTTGATGCATTGGCCACGTTAGTAAATTATTGTGCTGACTACTACAATGAGCTGTTGGTTGTTAATTTGCTTAAAGTTAGATGAATCCCATAAAACTAGGGATTTGGCTACATTGTCTTTTCTATCTGCCAATATATATATATATATATATATATATATATATATATATATATATAATATATGAATCGTTTGGACCTGGTGACTGGTGTGACTCATCAACAACCACAAACACTTGACTCATCGATTTTTAGAAATAGATGGTGACACATGCCAAAGATTTAAACCAATTACTTTACAATTAAGAACATTTTACGTTTACAGATCAGAGATCTAATGATGGGCCAGTGACCTTGTTTTCATGTTATTAATTAAGGAAGAGGACTAAACATATATAGTTTTCTTATAGTAATTTTATAAGACCAGTGGAGGATTCAATCGAAATTCCCCCAATATAAAACCAGCCATCAGACAAAAGTAAAAATCATGTGCCGAAAATGGATGTAAGGAGGACTCATGAGATATGACGGAACGTTACGAAACTATTACAAAGGAGAGTATAATTAAGGATAGAGTTAAGATATTATAATGATTTTAAATATAATGATCTTAATTAGGATTAATCCATTCCATAGTTCAGCACTTAGACAATATCATGCATACACGCTCACATACAAAGATGCTTGTAAATCAAAGACGTACATAAACGAAATTTAGATAATGAACATCATGTCGGGTTCATTCTCGGTAGCAACGGTTAACTTTAGTACAGCCACGGTGGTAGTCGTTAGCGGGAACACGGTTCTTAGCGCCTGGAGGATGGCATCCCGGAGGAGGATTAGGACCATAGCATTCGTTAATGACACCGTAATCTATGACATTCCGACCCTCCACTGGTACCGTAACCACGACGGCACAAACCACTAGCAAGATAATTGCCAATGTCTTCATATCTTAGAAAACCTCTCGGGATAATATATATTGTTGATGTTTCTTCTTTGTTGCTTTGGTTTGTTGTGAAAATGGGGGGGGGGGGGGAATAATTGTGGAATGAATATTTATTTGAAGCTGGTTAGAAGAACATGCATTACAACAATTAGTTAAATTACGGATGTATAATTAAAGACCTTTTTAGTTTTTTTTTTCGGTTTTCATTTCAAATTTGGAAGATGGGTGATTCTGTTTGACTACTGTTGTAAATCTCTGCAACCGTTTATCTTGAAACATTGTACAACTTTACTAAAGAACAAATTGAAAATTATCGTACTTTGGATTTTTAATCAAAAATATATATTTAATTCATTAAAAAATTATAAACTTCACCTCTCTTGTTTTTACAGAAAACAGTCTGTTAATTAATTAACCAAGTTATAACATTGTTCAATGAACGTTTGTTCATATTAAAAAACCAACAATACAAAACTTAATTACTTCAGTTACTCTTTTCTTTATGAGTACGTACATTTGTCGACATACCTTGAATCTGATCGTATGTTGCTTGTATAGCACGTGTCCCACTATCGTTTATTAATGGACGCAGTTTGGGCTTGGATTTTCTATTTGGATCTAAGATTACTGTACAAATCAGTATAGGGCTCTAAGATTAGTTGGTTTAGAAAATTCAAAGCTTATATGAACATGTATCTAAGGATTTGAGTCCCTATTCTATTTTTTTTCTTTTTTAAACTAGGGCCTTAATTGGCTAAAAAGAGTTAACTAAAAAAGGGTGTTCTATGTGCATATGCACAGATTGATGGACACATGCTTTAAGCCGGGCCTATATTGATTGCCGTTATGTATAATGTATTCTGTATTATCTGATTTTGTCTCTACTAATAATTTTTTCATCAAAAACGATCTAGTCAACAAATTTTTGATGAACTATGTGCGTTTTTTGGTCTTTCTCACACGGTGGCGGAGGCATATACAATCAGTTGCCCCCAATAAAAAATTAATAAAAAAGTTAATTAGTGTAAATTGTTAACAATAATAATTGCTCCCACACTAAACAACATATATGTTCCTAATAAATATTTTTGCCCTCAATGAAAAGTATTCTAGCTCCGTCCACCCATATAACTTACATATATATAAGCAACAGTTGAGAGGTTTAGTGAAGAACAACAACGTATGACTCGTTTCTCTCTTTTGAGATCCTACTAGGTTATAATGGTTACTCATCAACTACAAATTATAAGCTACAAGATACATCCAGTAGGCACGGATGAAGTGCACCATAGTCTATGAAATTCTGAATTTCCACAGGTTTTACAATTATGGGGCGCAAATCACTGGCAAGCAAATCCCCAACTGTTGATGATTAGTTTTTAATATATAATTTATATATTTTCTTTCTGTTGACATTTGTTGTGGGTAGCTTATATATACAAAGAGATTAGAGCATGCACTAGTTTTAGCTAAACAAGGGTTCTGCTTAGATGTTTTTGATTTTTTTTTGTTTAATTCCATATTTTTATTTTAGTATTGAGACGATCAACAGCGAAGTAAATGATGAAAATTTCTGTTTGATTACTGAATACCAACCAGTACGTAGTCAAAGGAAAAAAAAAATTACAATCAGGATTGCATTAATTTAGATTATAGATATAACACGAAAACGATATATCAGTGGTCCTATCAACAGCTTGGAGAAGCAGATGCTCCATCAATGTTAAGAAAATGTTTAAATGTGCACATATTGCAGCCAGCGGTTCGTAAGAATACTACATGATGTTTTTCCTTGTAAATGTTTTTGTTTGTTAGGAGCCAATTGACAATCCTCTAGGTTCCATAACACAGTTCACACTTTCGACGTGACAATATGTAGATTTTAAATTGGTTAGAAAACCCATGAAACTTAATACGTATAAGTGATATAGCTAGTTATCCTCGGAAGCATGCAGTTTAACATTACTCTTATAGTTAACTATTTAATATTTTTCCATTTCCACAGTACTCAACAGTTCACAAATGGTTTTATTGACCGAAAAATATATATATATATGTTGATCAGCTTTCTACTAAAACAAAGAGTGATCAACGTCTCGAAATTTGTTATTCATTGAGTATTATATACATTTTACTTTCCCTTGTTAAAGAACTATCAAAATAAAAATAAAAAGAAAAAGATTCGTTATAGATTTTTCCGTATAAATTGCGTATAAGTTAGCCCCTATTGCTTCACAAGCTGGGAAATGCTGTACGGATTAGTTAGGAGTCCATCAAACGAGCCTTTAGCCACAAGCTTATTGGTGGCTTCGGAGCTGTGAATACTATCCCAAAATACATATTCTGTCCGGTTTGCACAAACCGGTTGGTTTGGCTCGCAAAGTTCTCCCCCTGGCGGTACTGTACAACAAGCCTTGTCTCCAACCTTAAATCCTACGAGGCAGGCATGAGAGCGAAGCAAATTCAACTTTTTATTTTACATTAAAAATAGTTTAGCATTTATGTTGGATTTTCATCTCAAATATACAAAGCATATAGTTTAGCATTCATTTACTATAATCGAAATAACACACAAACCAGAGATTTAATCAGAGTAAAATATTAGCATTGTTTTTAAAACAAAACTCGAGTTGATAAGAATCCCACTAGCTGAACTAACTATATATAGATATGTTTTCCAAAATTTAGGCAAAGCTATTCTTAAATATAGACACCTTAATTAATAAAAAAATGGGTGTAATAAGTCTTGAGTTCAATATAGTTTACCTAAAAGACCGTAAGCTAAGGGATCTCCACCGGAGAAAATATCGACGTAGGTGAACTTAGCACCTTGGACCTTCCTATTGAAATCCTTGACAAGGTCCTCGAGGTTCTTATTGAAAATCGCCACTGCATTGTTCACTTCTTTTGCGCAACCTTTACCGCCACCATGTGATACCATCATCTTTGGTGTGCAACCGATCTGAGTGATGCTGAAAAGTGCCACCTTCCTCGCTCCTAGACGGTGCAAACTCTACCAACAAAAAAAAAAAACACTACATCTATCAACAAATTGATGTAGCTAGTCAGCTAGTGGGAACGTAAAGGATACTAGCTAGATGCAACGTTATTAATTAGTTTAGTTTGATATTCTCCCACTAAAACTAAATCTCTTAAATTTCTCGAGATCTCTGTAAATCTACTGAAAAAATGAGAGTAGACAAAAATCGCTATTTATGAATTAAAAGAAAAATAAACCTAAAAATATTAGGATCAAAAGCATGAAAAACCTGAAAAAATGTAGGAAAACCTAAACACAAGCCTCGTTGAAATATGATAACTGTAGTTGTTAAAATAGAAATTAACAAAGAATAATTATTTTAAATCTACGTTGCATGGCTTCACAAACATAGCTAAAATTGTTCCTATATACCTTCAGGTAACTACGGTAGAGTATGATGAGAGAATATGCATATTGATCAGGCTTAAAGCGACGACTCGTGTTGTAGTGTTCTGACATGAAGTAGTTGTTGATGTAATCGTTGCTTCCGATGTTGATTGCATAGAGACATTGTCCCAGTCTTTCTGCTGGCACTTTCGCTTTCTTTATCGCCTTCTTGTGATTTTGTATTTGCTTTCTTAGACTGATTCGATCACCCTATGTATTATGAGATATCAATTTTATATATTCCGTTGAAAGATATATCGAAAATATGATTTTTGTATAATGCTTATCGCTGTTATTATTTAGAATTTTATTTTTTTATGTTGTTTTTGATGTCATCTAGTAATTTAACTAAAGTATCAATTAATTCATAACGGTATTAATATTGAATATAAATATCAAAACTCTGATTAACCATAAGAATATGAGATTGTCATTATTTATTTGGTTCTTACTTCTTACCAAATGTTCGCTAGTTTCTTCACGAAGTCCGCCTCCACCGGAAGCGTAGTTCAGCCCTGTGTGCGCTTGTTCCCGTGATGCTCCGGCGTATGGCGGAATCAAATCCTTAAATCCCGATAGTTCACCTAAAGAGAAAAAACATCATATACAACACAAACACACACATATTTAATTATCAATTGGTTCCAGTGATATTTGTTGTTACATTTGATCCATTGATTTTAGTGTAAAGTTTTACCAATTAGATGTTAGTATAAAAAGTAACATTTTATTTGAGATGTTATGTTTTTTTTTTTTTCATTTTTTCATGGTTTTTCTAACTTTTCAAATGATATATCGAAGACTAGAAACGATATGTTACTCACGGACATAAAATCTGAGACCATTTATAAACTAACCGATCATGTCTGGGATAGTGCGGCCATTGGTAAACCGTCCGGTCGGGCCTTTGGGAAAGTCAATACCGTAAGGTGAGAAGTTGACTTTTGCCTTGGATTGCAAGTTATTATTGTTGCCATTATCGAAAGTTGAGTCACCGAAGATGAAGTAACACGGCGCTTGCCCGTAAACCACCGTAGCTGCTGCAAACACGGTGGCGGCAAGAATCCAAAAGGCCTTAGGCAATATTCCTTCAGCCATTTTTTAATGATGAAATAACAGAGAATTAAAAAGATGAAATATTTATTGAAGAGACGAAGTACGATCTTTTTAAATATAGTTATATATAAGAGAGGCCGGAATAGGTCGAAGTTTAAATTTGAAATTGATTCTATGAAGAGTATTAAAAGGCTATTTAAAAGGAATGGGTAACGAGTAAATCAAGGGAGACGACGCTTTTATTTTTTTGAGAGGAGAATCTTTAATTTTAGATGTCAACATGATCATTGGTGATATATAGTGGATTATGCTACTAAATATGTGGTCTTAAAAAATTACAAATTTTTGTTTAAGCTATATATCGATATCATCAAGGCATACTACTTCTTGTAAAATATCGAAAAATAAATTAAAATATACTAGTTATATCTATATTCAATGAATCACTAATTATTTGATGATGAAGTAAATTCAAAAAAATATTAGCTTTCAATCAAAAATAAATAATAAATTTGGTTTAGAACGACAGAAAACAGAAAACCGAATACTTGTGTCTTTCACTAAACACGAATATGATCTAATAACAATTAACTTAACATGGTTACCGCAATCCAAATATATTATTCATATTATCAAAAATTGCAAATTTTTGTTTAAGATGTATATCCATATCATCAAGACATACTACTTCTTGTAACACATCGAAAAAATAAATTAAAATATATAGTTATATTTATATTCAATGTATTACCAATTATTTGATGATGAAGTAAATTCAAAAAATTATTAGTTTTTAATAAAAATAAATAACAAATTTGGTTTAGAACGATAGAAAACCGAATACTTGTGTCTTTCACCAAACACGAATGATGATCTAATAACAATTAACTTAATATGGTTATCACAATCTAAATATATCATTCATAATATAAAGAAATTGCAAATTTTTGTTTAAGCTGTATATTCATATCATCAAGGCATATTACATCTTGTAACACATTGAAAACAAAAAAAATATATATATATATATATATATATATATATAGTTATATCGATATTCAATGTATCACTAATTATTTGATGATAAAGTAAATTTAAAAAAATATTAGTTTTCAGTCAAAAATAAATATATAACAAATTTGGTTTAAAACGACAGAAAACCGAATACTTGTGTCTTTCCCCAAAAATGAATGATGATCTAATAACAATTAACTTAACATGGTTACCACAATCCAAATATATCATTCATATTATAAATATACATATTCATTTACTGGTCATAATTTATATTTTGTTGAAGGTTTCCTTTACTGGTCATATAATTTGGTATAACTATTTTTTTTCATGAGAAGAAATAAAACGATTTACCTTTTTTCAAATACATCTATATATAAAAAGTAATAATTTTTTTAAAAAAAAATTGATAAAAATGCATGTTGCTAAATTCATCTAATACATTTTGGCAGCTGAATTCACTAAACAAACAAAGTACGTCATTAACTCATTATGTATAAAATAAACATATCGAATGAAATGAATAAATGGAGATAAAAAAATAATCCGAAATGTATTAAAACTAATATAAAAATTACTAAATCTCATTTTCAGTAATGTATAATTTTTTCAGATATAATTAATTATTCGGATCTTTAAAATGAACTTATATAAATATAAATTTTTGAAGAAAAAAAATATACATGCATGGATAAGACAAATATGAAGGCGTTCTCCATAGTTGGTGCTTCGATTCTTAACGTTTATTTTTTGTATGACGTAACTATACTTAAAAATCTGAAGAATTGCTTTGACGAAATAGTATAGCCATGTGATGCTAATGTTTTGTTCATCTTTGAGTAGACGACTTATGAAATTGAACTCCTATAAAATAAAGCAACAAGGCGAGATGGAGCTTTATATATAGAATGATAGACATATTATATATAACTTGAGACTCTCTCACACAACTTGAGAAACGCAAAATTTTCTTTTATTCATTAACATATTATGTACATAGAATGATAGAAAAGCTAAATCAAAATCCATACACAAGGAGAAAACAAAACAAATGCGGTACGTCTTAATCATACTCATATATATAGACTATAAAGTAACAGAAAATGATTAATTAGAACAATGCGCGATACACTTCTCCGTGCAGTCCATTGAGCATCCTCCGCTCTTGCTTGTACTTTTGTAACCTTCTTTTTCAACGTTGGTTGACTTGTAGCACTCCGCAGGACAAGTCAGCTTCTTACCGTAACAAGGTCCTTGCACCGTGCATGTATGTGTTGGATTCATCAAATCTCCATTTCCGTGAAAGCCTGGAAACCCATGAAACATCCCGCCAAATCCACCATCCCAAAGTTGACGACTTGCTTGAGATGAAGAGACAAATATGATTAGAAGAAGAATAGGTAAAAAGATTGATTTTGGAGACATTTTGTTGTGTGTGTGTGTGTGTGATTTCCAAATTTTTTGTTGTGTGATTGACAATGATGATGATGGTGATGAGATTGATGCATATATATAGTATAAACTGACTAGATATTTGACCAGTGGTTTCTTAGGCAATGAGAAAATTTAGGAAGACTTCAATTTTGGAAAGAACCTATTCTCAGATTAATTTTAGAGAGCTCAATAATTGGTTGGGGGTGGTTTTTATGTAATTCGGATTTTTTTTCCTTTAAATTACAAATATTTACTTAAAATTATGCATATCATGAAATTGAAAATTATACTTATTGTTTGTCTTGGTCTAGTTATGAGGGATTTGATTTATAGTTTTTATGTCAATATGAAACTTAGGCTCTAATAATGGTGACCATCGTTGAGGAAATGAATGATATATAAGCAATATGATATTTCTCTCCATTCCTAATTTACCATTTTAAAATTAATAATATTTGTAACAATTTAGGACAGGCACCATAAAAAAATTAATCTGAAAGTTAAGTATTGATTTTGGAAAAGTATATAGTTTTGACAAGGATTCTTAAATTTGAACAAATATAAATTTATTTGCAAAGTTTCAAAAGACAATGGGTTCTTAGAATTATCCTAAACTTTGGTGGAGTCAAAAATTGGAGGCATAAACTTTACAGAATAATTCACTGTTTTTTTTTAAAACAATTGCAAAGTAATTTCATTTTCTTTCCTTGTCAAAACTTTATATGAGTTACCATTTACTAACATCTATTTTATTATATCAAAATAAAAAGACAAATAAATCTCTAAGTTCTAAATTTAAGTAATAGAACGAAAATGTATTAAATTAAGGCTCAAATAGAATAAAAACTTCATCTGAAATGAAAAATTAAATAATATATCTTATCATGAGAATTTTTCGAAAATGTAAAACATATTGTTATATAGTTATTTTTAGGATTAATTTTCATTAAGAGTATAATTATATACTTTTAGTATATGAAAAACACCGTATATATGGTTCTACCAAATATATACTGTATAAATGATGTATATATGACTATATTAGCTTCAAGTGTATAAGCACAATATACATGATGAAAACAGATTACTTCTTACCATATAATATATATACACTGTATATACGGCCGTACAAAACGGTAGTTTAGAACACTGCCAGTATGTAATGCTTGGGATATTACAGTGATAAAAAGAAAGTTACATTGTGAAGGAAGAAAAACATATTGGATAGGAGATTATGGGATGGGGGCTCTGAAACTATAGTGAAGGCACGAACCTCAAAACGAATATATGATCCGTTTGTCTATTTAAGCTTGAAAGCCCACTTGCAATTTTATTAGACCTGATATGAAAGAGAAAGCAATTCTCAATTATTAGTATCTAACAAAAGCACATTTAGTACTTGCTTCCAAACATTCCTAATTATTTTTAGGTGTTTAAAAATAATTTTAATAAATATTTATTTTTAATTTCGAAAATTAGTTATTAATTTAAATATTTTTAGAGTTTCTTAAATATAGGTAATTTAGATTTGATTTGATTTGATTAAAAATAATAAATCAGATATTAATTTAGATTTGATTTAAAGATTCTAATTTAAATAATTTATATACTATTAAACATTTTTATCAAAAATATCTAGAATTTTTGAAAAAAAAAATTACATATGAAAAATAATGGTCATATTTGAAATATAAAATATTTATAATGATGTAAATGATATGATATTTATGTTGTTTTTATAATATATTTACGATTATGATTTATTTACAAATTAATAATAAAATAATAGGTAAAATTCAAATGTATAATTTAAATATTAAAAATATATTTTTAAAAAATTATAGAACTAAAAATATATATAAAAAACCGGGTTAAAAATATTTTGGTAACTAATATCACTAATTTTGAATTATACATGTATATCGAAAATATATTTTTCATACAAAATCAAAACATAAAAAAATTAAAAATTATTGCATACATTATAATGTGGTTTGAAAAACCAGTTGTACATTCCCTTCGTTGATTAATTTAGAAAACTATAATACTAAATAATACTGTTAATACATCTCAAACTTTTAACAAATATTTATATTATACGGTAATATGAACGGAAAAATTAGAATTATGTTTTTATAATAGTTCATTTTAAATTAATATTAGCGGACAGGTTAAAATATATCTAAACATAAAAATCAATATTTTTACTTATTAAAAAAATACATTTATAAAAATAATTATATCTAAACTCAAAAATATAAATTATATTACAAAATTCGTTAAACAATAAAAAATATTCCCGTGCGGACGCACGGAGTTAGAATCTAGTTTTTGTGAAATCTCAATCTTAATTATACAGTATACTAATAAAAGAGAGGAAAAAGAAAGAAAGCAAAAAAAAAGATGTGAAGGAGGATGAGACTCGTTGTTGCAATTCTGGCCAAAAAACGAGGAACTGTAGCCACTCTGTTTCACTACGTGTTCCCTGTCCTTTTCTTTCTTTTTAGTTTTTATTATATTATTTTTCGGCGATATTATTTCTTCGTTATTACGAATACTGTATAGTTCCTCAATTATAGTTATATAAAAAAAATCTGATTATAATTCTCAGTACTTAGTTGTTACAAGTCAAAATAAATCTGGCAAAAGACATTCTAACAAAATAATTATAGTATTTTAATAATAATTAGTAATAACATCAATAAAAACAATTAGCAATCGATAAAAAATAATCCTAAATGAAAATAAAAATATTTTGTGAAACAATTTTTATCTCCATTCTAAAAAAGAAAAATTATTAAATTATATGTATGCTTGAAATGAAACTAATATTACATGATGTTGTTTCATGAGAGGATTATAATTTTTAGCTTAAAATTTTTTAGTAATTTTAAAAAAATCATTAAAATATATTTTTGTAAAAATTAAAATGTATATTGTTGCCATCTAAAATGCTGCACAATGGAGTCAATATATGCCTTTTCGCCATTATGATATTAATATTATTGCCAAACTCTTTGGTCTTCCACTCTTCCTAATTAAATATTTCTCTATACTAAAAAGCATTAATGGCTTTTTGACTAGTAGCAAACCAATATAGGAAATAATCATCTTCTTTTGTAGATCCAAATCTAAGCTACATATGAATTTACGATCGTCATATCGAATCCGCATAAATGATAAGAATTGAGCACTAAACCAAAATTTGATCTCCCACGAATAACATTCTAAAACTGCATTAATATTTTTGTGGCTCGCTTCTGATATAACAAAAACTAGCAGCTTATTATCATTGCTAAAATTCTTGAATACTTTTTTTCAACAAAAAAATCTTAAATACATTACAGAAATGAAGAATGACTTTCTCTTTTAATTGTTAAAATTGTTAAAGACATTTTTTTCGAAAGAAAATATATCCTACACACACACAAATTATACTCCTGATATACAAATGAAATAAATAAGGGCTTTGGGAATAATAAAAGTTGTAAAGTGGATGCACGTGGTGGCATTTGTGGAAATGCATCCAAATTAAGAATACAAACAATGCACTTAATTCAATCCACATGCTCATCCCCAATCCAAAACCATACGTTTGGGTCCCTTTTCTCCAAATCTCATTTAACCAAATACTATTAAGTAATAAAATTGTAAAACAGTAATAAAATTGTAAAACAGTAATAAAATTGTAAAAAGAGTATAATAAGACCAGCAAATCATGACATGCCATTTACTACCACAGACTTTGTACACATTTTCTGACAGCGTTGTACGATCTCTCATCATTCAGACTGACAAAATAGTTTCAGTATACGTACATCCTGTAATTATATTTGTTGTAAACTATAATCGAATGAGCAGCAAGTAGATTATCGTCAGACTCTACCTTATAATATGTTTGTCTACGCGAATGTACGGAGAGAGTTACACATTTTTTTTTGGTTTAAAAAGAGTTATACATCTTCAGATCTTCTTAGAAATCCCCGTCTTGAATCTTAACATATCTTCTTCTTTTTTGACATCTAAAATCTTAACAGATCTAAAGAAGAAAATTGGTCAAAATGGTTTTTGAATTTAAAGTTACTCTTTGATATAGAAGGTTTATATCCCATTGATCTCATACCGTGGTTAAAACAAAAAAAAGGACAATAAGGACATTAACAAAAAAAAATAACATTTCAAAAATTTAGCAGAAAAATTAAATAATTTATAAAATTATAATGAGATATATTTTGAATTGTACATTTTCTATCGAGGTATAAACATGAGTACTTGTTTTAAAAGTATACTATATACATATATTTCTAAAATGAAGTTTGAATAATATGATCATTATATCTATAATTTCTGTCGATGTATATAAAATAAATTATATGCTGTTATCAAAACTATCTGAAAGCCTATTTGGAAAAATTCTTATTTTTAAAACAGAAAATAAGACTAAATTATGATACAAACGAACAGGAGTTAAGAATCTGACCTTTTACACTAAATAAAATAGTAAACAGTTTTTAAAAAATGTGGACAAATTCTTTTGGTAATATAATTATTAGATTCTAAATTAACGATATTCATTCGAATTTGTGTACGTTTATCTTTTATATGATTATGTAAGAGTAGCTTTTTCTTTTTCCATGAATTTGATAGTTAACACAAGTACTTCAATTTGGTTAAAAGTTAAAGCTCGAGTTTGTAAATAATAGTCTTTCAAGGGTGTTAAACTAGATACACGTTGGAAGTCAAATCAATTAAACTTTAGTTTTTTTGTCTTTTAAATTGCAGTAAAACATAAGATGTGTACGTAGTGAAACCAACAATTTCAAAAGCATCACAAGTACATCCAAAGAGAATGATCAAAAGGGGGAGTAATTGATGAAGAGGGGGGGGGGGTAGGGGGAGGGTAAAGTAGAGGTAAAGGACAGAGAGAACAAATGGGTAAAATCAAGGACACAAAAACACATGCACACATGCATACCTACATAGACTCATACAATATATACAACTATACAACTATGTGTGGATGT